GTAATTGAACTTGTGGTGTTTGTTTCAAACGAACAGTATTACTTCCTAGAATATTATTTCCATTTGTTAATGATGGTCTTTTGATTGTATTTGCCATTAATTGATTTTTATTATTTGATATACCATTTGATACTAGAATTGGTGCTTGTTGAATACCATGTACATTATTCATATGTACATGAAGAAATTTTGTTGGAAAAGATTTTGAACATATTTCACAAATCGATGTTGATGATGGATCAATTGAATCATTACTTGTACTATTTGTATTTGTATTGATAAATGTATTAACAGAAGCTGTTAAAGCATCTGGACTTGGTATAACACCTGGTTCTGTATTTGATGTATTTAATTCATCAACAATAAGTTGAGGTGGACTACCATCCAATGATGATCTTGAATGTTGTTGTTCAATATTATCTTCATTTGTTTCTGAATTATTTAATGAACCTGATGATGATATTAACATTGGATCAGATGCAACACCATGAACTTTAAGTTTATGTGTTTTAAGAAAATATTTATTACATACTTGCTAGAAAATAGAAATATACATTGATTATTTAAATGATAATAACAAAAAAAGAAAAATTTACCTTATGACATATATCACACGAAACTCGATCAGCCATTTTCGCAGCAAAATATGTATCAACAATTCCTGGTATAACACCTGATGGATTCGGTGATGTTATTGAATCAATAGGTGATGATGCTTGAATAACTGTAGTAACATTAGTAGTAGATGATGTTGTTGTTGGTGTTGTTGACGGTGATAATGATGATGGTGTTTCAGTTGTTTCTAATTTAATTTTTTTAACTGTATTACTATTAATTGTACCATTAGATGATTTAATTAAATTAGATAATTTTGCCCGTTGTTGTTGAGAATCATAATTTTGTATATCTGTTGTTATTTGATGTTTATTCATTAAATGTAATTGTAAATAATCATTTGTTTGAAATTTTTTTCCACATAAATGACATGTACTTATTTGAGATTTCGATGATGATGATGATGTTGGTGTTGTTGAATTATTTGTTACAGAATTTAATTGATTAGCAAATACATTTGCAACATCTGACGCACCAGTTAAAAGTGATGGTGGAAATTGAGGTTTTGATGATGATAATGATGATGATGATTCATTTGAATTATCTGTATGACGACGTTTATTTGATGATGATAATAATGATTGTTCAGAATTTGTTTGAGATTGAACAAGAGGAGAAAATATTGGATTAAGTAACATACCAAGACTCTGTTGAACAGAAGATGCTAAAAATAATAAAAAAAACTTCATTTTTTCATCCAAAAAAGAAGAATTCATTTCATACGATTAAATGAAACATTTGGAAATGAAGATGGTAATTGTATAGATGGAGATATTTGTTGAGATGATGTTGATGGTGGAGAATTTTTTGTTGATAAAGTATTACTATCAATTCGTTTATATGGTTTTATATTTGAGTCTGTTTGAACACCATGTACATCTAACCTATGTTTCTAAATATAGAAATATACTAATTAATTTTCAATTGACTTATCAAGGTTAGAAAGAAAGAAAAAAAAATTGATTTTATTGATAAATGACAATCATTTTTTCAAGTACTTAAATTATATGTGAAAAGTTAGAGCTAAAAAAATTTTATCGAGATCAATTTCAATTTATACAAAAAGACTTGAAGAAAGAAACTCGAGAGAATTATTTATTTTGTTCTTTTCGTTACTTACTCTTAAATAATATTTATTACAAAAATGTTTTTGACAAATATCACAAAAATCTTCGGGTAATTTTGCTGAAGATTGTCGTGATAAATTTGCCGTTGTTGATGATGATGATGTTGGTGTTGGAAAACCTGATAATAGTGCAGCGGCTGTTGAGGATGATGCTTGTTGTTGTTGATAATCTAAACTATTTGTTGGAGAATTTGCTATTATTTCTTGTTGATCATCATCATTATCATCATCATCGTCATTATTATTA